TAGACAAGATGCCTAATGCAACACATGCAATAATGCAACTAAAATAGGCTCGGCTAGCTAAGATGGCATATGAATGCGACGATTTGATACACGTATTCAAATAGGTATTGAAATATGATGTAGTTTGAATGATGCGCCGAGCCCGGTGCATGCAAGACAAATGAATGATGCAAACATACAAAGCATAAGGTATGCTAATCAAAATGTGCCCTAAACTAACCATCGAAAGCAGTTAAGTAAAAGGGAGAAAGAAGTGGGGTTGGAAGACATGCACACACACACGCACACTTATTACAAAATTGCGCCCTCTCGCAGGAGGGTCCGAATAAGCTAAGCTAATCTAAGTAAACTAATCTAATTAAACTAATTAGACTAATTATTACACAACAAAAATAAAGAAATAGCTAAGCTAAGCTAAGCTACTTAATTATTACAACACTTAACTAATTAATAAATTAATTAATTAAATTACAAAACTATGCTAACTAACAAGTAAAACATTTGAATTAGGCTGCTTCAGCTCTACTTGGAAATTAGAAGATGCATGCATTCGGTTTCTCACCCCGAAAAGCTTTTCGGTTTGCTCTTGAGAGGCTCTGTTTGCAGGGTGTCTCCAAGAACCTTCTGCTCCAACTTACCAACTCACAACTGAGGAATGCACCAATGGCCTGCTGGCCATGAGGAGCTGTTACCGGCCATCTGCCGGCCAAGGGTGGGCACTGCCGGCCAAAGATAGAGCAGTGACGGCCATTAGTGAGGCACTGCCAGCCACTGGTGTGCTGAATCACCATTCTGTAACAGAGCACAAATTAGAGGAAAATGGAGGGTCTCCCAAGGGTATATTTGTATTGTGCCACTCCTTGTCATCTCAAAACATCAAAGGAGAGGCACCATTGGATCCAAAACCATCAATCAAGCATCTTGAATGCATGATGGCCAAAGATCCAACTTGATACAATTTTAATCAATGCACAACAAACTAGACTCAAGAACCACTACCTTATCATGGATAATCAAAGGCAATGGAGACAAAGGGGATTGACTCATTTTCATCACTTTGAGTATGAAATGGGCCAATCCACCTTGTGTTCAATATAACGTTCGATTGAACACAATGTAATGCAAATAACAATGCTTATCTTGGTCATGTTTTACTTGTCCAATTCTTGTTTACTCATTTTAACATTACCAAACCATTCTTTAATTGATTTGTCCAATGTGAAAGTCCTCTAATTGGAAAGATGGCCTAAGCCACAAGTGCCTTGAGCATGAAAGAAGTCTTATGCTGTTGGTTAGTAGAAACCCTCAAGAGAGGATTAAAACCATTAGGCATGAATGCCTCAATTTCATGCTCAAGCCAACAAGGGGCTCAAGACCACTTTCAAAAGCGAATTCAAAAATGAAGAACAAAGAGAGGTTGCGACCTTAAACCATGCCAGCAACACATGCACAACATGTTAAAGGCCAAAAGTATTGAAACTAGTGAATGACGCAACACTAGAGGCATGCAATATCAAGCACAAATGACCAAACTAGCTTTGGACAAAGCTTAAACGTGCCAAAACAGTGGCTAAAATGAGCTGAGATGGCTCGCATGTTGGCTCACAAACAAGGCATAAAGCACAACCCTCAAAAGTAATGAAAGAGTGGAATATGTGAGAGTGTAACAAAGTTACATGCACTGAAATTACATTCTAAATGATGCCATAGCATGCGAACATCTCAAGCAAAGCATGTTAGAGACCTTGAAACTCAAAGCTAGTCAATGTCATTTACACTATAGCTATACAAAGTAAAGCACATATGACCAAGACCACCCAAAACAAAGCTGAAGCATGCTAAATCAGTAGCAAAAATTTGCTGGAGTTGAGCTAACACAAGCTAGAATGATAGGCTAACTCAATAGGCATGCTAGGCTAGTGAGCAAAATTACACTACAAGTGTAAGAAGCAAATAAGAGGTGCTCCAACCAGCCAAAAACAGAGTTGAAACATGTTAAAATAAGGCAAAAAACATGCTTGAATTAAGCTACAAAAGGCTAGAATGAAAGGCTAACACATAGCACAAACTAGACTATTAAGCACCATTGAACTACAAGCATACAAAGCAAGCCTTAGGTGGCTTAACCAGCTCCAAACAGAGGTAAAGCAAGTCAAAAAAGTAGCAAAAACATGCTGAGACCAAGTCATAAGATGGTAGAAAAATAAGCTCACATGTTAGGCTATCTACTCATGCAAACAAGACACAAGGAGGGGAGGCCAATCCCTCATATTTTGGACCTCAAAACATGGTTTTCACCTTTGAAATTCCCCTGGAATTCAGTGGTTAAAAGGCCAAAAAAGTTGGTTTGAAATGTGATGAAAGATGGCACAAAAACCTACACAAGCTAAGGAACAAAAGGGAGAGACGACCCCCTAACACCAAATAGGCTCAAACTACCATTTTTAGGACTGAAAAATAGAGTTTTTTGCAGTTAAAAAGCACCCCAAAAATAGCACAAAAGATGGCAAAAACAAGTATGAAAACAAGCTTAAAGGGTGAGTCTTATACTTCTTGAAGGGAAGACAACACTTAAGCAACAAAACCAAGAAAAACCACCTTAAGGAGCTCCAAGGAGGCTTCAAGAGAGCTTCAAGCAATCTCATCCCAAAGATGAACCACTCTTGTTAAGGGTTGATAGGTTGAAGATGGATGTATGCAAGCTTCCAAACACAAAAGCTTTAGAGAGAGAGGAATCTAGAGTGACAGGATTTAGAGAGAGAGGCTCCCAAACCTTTGCTAAATTGTTCTACCCTCTAAAACAATAGAGAAGCCTCTCTATATATAGAAGAATGCAAGCCTTGGTCGAAAATATCCCAAAAAAAGATAGCTGGAACAGTTGGACAACAAATATCTGAAAAAATCTGCCTTTTTGCATCAATGGTCGGCACTGGATCACTGATGGCCGGAACTTGATCATTATTGGCCAGCATGGGACACTCTTGGACGGCAGGGGGTCGGCATTGGTCATTCACGGCCGGCACATGGCCAAAAAATCCCATTTATGGCCAGCATTCTCCACCTCTGGTTGGCTAGAAAAATTTGCTTTTTGGGCCCAACTTCAAATAGGAATATCTCCTTCATATGAACTCCTTTGCAGGTCATTTTTGTGCCTAAATTGAAGCCGTTGAAGTCTTATTTCCAATGGTGGAAGCCTCACATCAAAATTCCAACTGTGAAAAAAGTTATGCCTGTTTGAGTGGAGACTACTCAGTTTTGATCCTACCCGGATTCATGCTAAACTTCTCCCAAACTTGGTTTCTTCTCTCCTCTCCTCTTTTCTTCAACTCCAAACCCCTAAATAAGGTGTTTTGAAAGATTTTACAAATAGTTCACCTCTCTTTCATTCATTTCCACTTTGTCCTTGCTCGATTTACCAAAAAGTGCAACATTTAACAAAATGCGAGCGTCAGAACATCGTAGGAACTCTTTCAAAAATGTTTTGAAAGAGAGGGTTTTAAGATCTAAAATATTTTTAGTAAAAAATATTTGGTCCAAAAATGGGGTGTAAGGTTAGGATTTGAAGCTCCTTTTGCCGAAGAAATCGAACATTTGCACTGCACATCTTTTATCACCAAATAAACAATCAGTGGCGCCCAAGTCTTAAGGGCGGTCAAAAATGGGGTGTCTACAATAACTACAAAATTAAGCATGTAATCACACAATTAAACACATAATCATGCAATTAGACTTATTAAAATAATGTAATATAATAGTTTGGAGGTCGGGGTCGTTACAGTCTCTCCTCCTTAGAAGGTTTGGTCCTCTAAACTTAAGTTATCTTCCGATGGAAATATATGCGGATATTGCTGCCTCATCTCTTCCTCTTTCTCCCAAGCGGCCTCCTTCCCATAATGTTCTTTCCACTCGACTTTCACCATAAGGATATTTTTGTTTCTCAATTGCTTCACTTGTCGATCAATGATTTGCACGGGCCATTCTTCATACATCATATTTTCGTCTGAAGCAATCTAGTGGTGATCAATTACATGGAATGCATCTCTAAGATACCCACGAAGCATGGATACATGAAAAACATTATGCACTTGTTTCATTCCCGGTGGCAAGGCAATATGGTAAGTAACAGGACCCAACCTCTCAAGAATCTGAAACAGCCCAATGTAGCGAGGAGTCAATTTTCCCTTTTTGCCAAATCTCGTCTGCCCCTTTATCAATGTTTCTTTGATAAATACTTGATCTCCCGTTTCATACTCTAATTCTCTTCTTCGTTGATCCGCATAACTTTTCTGTCGATTTTGTGCAGTTTTGAGTCTTTGTTGAATGATTTTAATCTTTTTAGTCGTTTCTTGCACAAGTTCAGTACCAAAAATAGCCCTATCACCAACCTTTGTCCAACAAATTGGTGGCCTACATTTTCTGCCATATAGCGCCTCATATGGTGCCATACCGATGCTTGCGTGAAAACTGTTGTTATAAGCAAACTCAGCCAATGGCAAATATGTTTCCCAGCTGCCCTGAAAATCCAAAACACACATACGAAGCATGTCTTCTAAGGTCTGAATAGTCCTCTCGGTTTGTCCATCAATCTGTGGATGAAATGCTGTACTAAATCTCAATTTTGTTCCCATCGCATCCTGCAAACTATGCCAACATCTAGAAATGAATTTAGGATCCCTATTTGATATAATAGACACTAGAACCGCATGCAGTCGAATAATTTCATCAATGTAGATAGTAGTAAGTCTATATGCAGTACAAGAAGTCTTTATGGCAAGAAAATGAGCAGACTTAGTTAGTTTATCAACTACAACCCAAATAAAGTCCATACCTCTAGGTGTTCGAGGTAGGCCAACAACAAAGTCCATGATGATATGCTCCCATTTCTATTTTGGGATAGGAAGAGACTGAAGCAAACTCGCTAGTTTCTGATGCTCCGCTTTCACTTGTTGGCATTGTAAGCATTTAGAGTTAAAGTCAGCAATCTCTCTTTTCATGTTGGGTCACCAATACACTAACTTCAAATCTTGGTACATTTTGGTGTTTCGTGGGTGCATAGCAAACATTGAATTGTGGGTTTCCTCCAAAATTTTTCTTTTCAAATTTGCATAATTTGGAATATACAATCTCCCTTGAAATTTCAACATAGAATTTTTAATTGTAAATCCCGGTTTAGGATTGGTGTCAAGTTCATCACAAATCTTCTTCAAAAGCTCATCAATCATTTGCTTTTGCTGGATTTCTTCGATAATGGCAGGCTGTACAGACATTGAGGCTATCAAGCTATCTTGTTCAAAAGACACCACCTCAATTTTGAGTTTTTCAAACTCTAGTGGTAGCTCTTTCTGATCTGTGAGTAAACAGGCAAGATTCCCCACATTCTTTCTGCTAAGTGCTTCTGCTACAGTATTGGCTTTACCCGAATGATAGTGGAACTGCAAATCATAATCTTTGATTAATTCAAGCCATCGCCTTTGACGCATGTTCTCCTATTTCTGTGTAAAAAAGTATTTCAAGCTCTTATGATCTGTGTACACTTCACATTTGGCTCCATACAAATAGTGACGCCATATCTTTAATGCAAATACAACTGTAGTAAGCTCTAGGTCGTGTGTAGGGTGGTTCTTCTCATATGGTCTCAATTGTCGAGAGGCATATGCAATCACCTTGCCATTCTGCATTAAGATATAACCCAAACCCTTATAAGATGCATCACTAAAGATTACAAAACCTTCGATACCTGAGGGAATAGTAAGAATTGGAGCTGTGGTCAGTCTTGTCTTCAACTTTTGAAAGGTTATTTCTCTTTGATCTGTCCATTCAAATGGTTTCCCTTTTTGAGTCAACTGGGTCAATGTCACAGCAATTTTCAAGAAGTCCCTAACAAATCTTCAGTAATAACTTGCCAATCCTATAAAACTACGAACTTCTGACACATTATTCGAGGTAGGCCAATTAATAAGCGCTTCTATTTTGTGAGGATCAACACATATACCATCCTTATTAATGATGTGTCCTAAGAATGCGATTTCATCAAGCCAAAATTCACACTTTTTGAATTTCCCATACAACTATTTTTCTCTAAGTGCCTGAAGAGTCATTCTCAAGTGTTGTTCATGGTCATCTCTATTTTTTGAATACACGAGAATATCATCAATAAACACGACAACAAATTCATCCAAGAAGGGTTTAAAAATTCTATTAATCAAATCCATGAATGCTGTGGGCGCATTTGTAACTCCAAAAGGCATGACTAAAAACTTGTAATGTTCATACCTAGTCCGGAAGGCTGTCTTCTCAATGTCTTCAGCCTTAACCTTCAGTTGATGATACCCCGATCTCAATTCAATTTTTGAAAATATCCAAGCCCCCTGCAACTGATCAAATAGGTCATCAATACATGGTAATAGATATTTATTTTTCACTGTTACCTTGTTGAGCTCTCGGTAATCAATGCATAGTCGGAGAATGCCATCTTTCTTCTTTACAAAAAGTATCGGTGCACCCCATGGTGATGTGCTCGGTCTGAAAAACCCTTCATCAAGTAGTTCCTGCAACTGAACTTTCAATTTTTTCATTTCAATGGTAGACATACGGTAGGGAGTTTTAAAAATTGGTTGTGTACCCGGTATCATATCAATTGTAAATTCAATTTCTCTATCAACAAGTTGGCCAGGTAATTCATTTGGAAACACATTAGGGAAATCTCTCACCACTGGTATATTGTCTAGAATAATGTCCATAGTTGGTTCGGTTGTTATACTACATAAATACCCTTGACAACCCTTATTCATTAGTTTTCGGACTTTTATAGCAGATATGAGGTATGGGGGTAGAACTACCCCTTTTTCCTTGAAATAAAATACATTTTGTCTGGGAGGTCGGAATATCACTCGTTTCAAAGTGCAATCAATAGTTGCATAGTATTTAGCTAGCCAATCCATACCCAAAACAACATCAAAATGTCTGAGGTCTAAAGGTATTACATCAACATATAAAACAACATTCCCAAGAAATAATTCACATGCAGCAAATACAGTTGAGCATGACATAGATCCCCCAGTAGGTGATGCAACACATAATATATAACTCAATGTTTCCATGGGTCTATTCAAAGTTTCAGCAAAAACCATAGAAACAAACGAATGTGTAGATCCTGAATCAACTAAAGTATAAGTAGGTTTACCACATATGGACATTGTACCTGACACTACTGCCTCAGTATTTTAAATGTCCCCCGGAATTAGTGCAAAAACCCTTCATTGCCTTTGTTCATTTCTTGTTGTAGTAGGTGTCGCATTTGTTCCTGTTGTTGGAGTAGATCTAGTTGAACTTGCAGTATCATGATTTCCACTTCGACGTGATTGTGTACAATCCTTTGCGATGTGTCCCATCTTTCCACAGTGATAACAACCTTCTGATGCGCGATAGCAAACACCCTAATGTTTCTTTCCATATGCGGTACAAGTTGGCGTTGAACTACTACCTTGGCTTGAACCAGTATTACCAGAACTCCCAGATTTTAACTTCTTATTTGTTAACGTTGCCCCCTTATTAAAATTTTGTTTTCTGCCCTTTCGCTCAAACTTCTGTTTGCAATTAGCCACATTACCATCTGTTATCAGTGCCCTATCAAGTACATCCACATATGTCAGCAATTTGAGTATGTTGATTTTATCCAGAATTGGGTCACGCAAACCTCCCTCAAAGTGTCTAGCTTTCTTGTAATCTGTATCTACCATATGGGGTGCAAAGCGAGCCAACTCCATAAACTGAGCTTCATACTCGGCAACTGATTCGTTTTCTTGTTTGAGTTCCATGAATTCAGACACCTTTCTGTCCTGCACACATTGTGGGAAATACTTCTTATAAAAGATCTCTAGAAATCGAGCCCAAGTAATATCCTTATTCTCATCTTGAACCAACATCCACCAATGTCTTACATCATCTTCCAATGTAAATGCAGCTAGTTGTTCCTTCTGAGCTTCGATACATGGGAACACTTCAAACAATTTCTCAATCCCTAAGACCTAAGCCTTGGTTTTCAATGGTTCAATTCCACCATGAAACACTAGTGGCTTCATGTTTTTGAATTCTCTAGTCAAAGCAATAGTACCGTCCCCCGTCTGACACCCTGGAGCTGGAGGTGGTACAGGCATTGGAGGTGGGGGTGGTGGTTGTCGTTGTTGTTGTGCCACTGCTGTTGTTGCCTTATGGCTTCAGCCATGTCTTGCATCATTCATTCCATTCTATCCAGTCCTGAGGAGGTCTTCTTCTCTAGCTCATCACCTCTTGTTCTCACCATTTTCTATATGAAACTTGTACTATAGCAAACATAATGCATATATTCATGCACACAATTGCATATATATAATCGCGAAATCATCTTACTCAAAATTTCAAATACACATGAATGTAATCTTGAAGTCTTTTCTAGACCCTTTATAGCTCAATGGACAAGTGAGTGAGATATAACTCATGCTTTGATACCATTCTATCATAATGGACAAGTGAGTGAGATATAACTCATGCTTTGATACCATTCTATCATGACCCAAACCCGCCCCTATAGGTTTAGTGCCATGACCGACCAGTAATCATAGATTACCTACGGCGTCTAAACAAAATCCATTTAATATAAAGTATGGGGCTTAGCGGAAGTATAATACAACATATAAGTTATCCATCGAGCCGTGCATATATGGAGAAAGCAAACTTTGTATCATAAGCAAACGTTTGTACATTATTCACATACATCACATAAGTTCAAACAGCCAAATCTTATAGTTATACAAAACCCCAATGGATATACAAATACAAAAATGATTGGGCAAAACAAAAGGGGGTCTAACAAACTTGGCTCCACATGAGCCTAGTTTACTTCGTTCAGAAGCTCTTCAAAAAGGCTGACCCGGGTAGACTCAAGGCATTATTTAACCTTGATGTTCAGCTTGCCTACCTATATACATATATAAGTAAATGGTGAGTTAGGGCCCATTGAGTAATAATAGGATAAAGAGGTTATGTGAATGAAGTTCGATAACATTGCCAAACCAAATTTCATTTCAGTTCTCAATAATCCATTAACTTCATTATCAATATCATTCAATGTCAAGTTGTGTGGTACATCCATGAAGTAATAACATTCCGATGATAATGGAGCATAACGGTCTAACACTACAGATCTTTGTGTGTCAATCAATCCAAAAGCCATGGTATTGTCTCCCCTAGGCAAGGGCCTAGCCATGGTATTGTCTCCCTTAGGGAAGGGCCTATGTTCCATGGATACCACAATACAATTTCAAAACAAAACTTCATTCATTATAAGAAAATAACATTTCAATAGACCATTCCGTCAATCATCATAACGTTTCAATAACCCATTCAATCAATCATATATCAATTTCGATAACAATAACATTTTCAAAAGTAAACATAACTTGAACATATCTTTATAAAGTTATTACTCATAGTGGGTTATGTTGTCACTAGGCCTCAGACGTCCACCTATACAAAACACATAACAAATTACCGTTCGATAGTCAATCTGCTTAATTAAATTGTCTTCATGTGTTTCTAACTCATTCCATGTTCATATGAGCTCAATTGGTACCTAAGAGTACTTGAAATGACATGAGGATGCAAGTACATGCTTAGAAGAGTTAGTTACTGGAAACAGGTCTTTGCTTGAGCGTAACTTCCTTCACTCGAGCAGGGGTTCAAAAATAAGGGTAGTCGCGCGAGTGCAACTTCAATCACTCGAGTGGTCTGTAAACTTTTCCAAAAGTACTGGTTGCATGAAATTTCCACTCGACGGTCACTCGAGCCGAAGACTGAGTAAAATGAAGTCCTCGCTTGAGCGGCCTGCAAGCTTTTGTAAAACTTCTGGGAGCTCGATTTTCACGCTCAAGCGACACTTTCTTTGCTCGAGCAGAAATGCCGAATTCTAGAATTTCTAGAATTGTGTTTGAAGTTCAAATTTGGTATTCAAAGGTTCCAAACTCGTGTTTTAGGTACAAAAACATGGGAAAACATTATAAAACATGCAAACATAATTAATTTGGAACCAATTTCTCAAAATCATGGCAAATTCTCAACCAAAAACTCAAACTTCAAATTATAAAGCAAGTTTGACTTAAATTGAGTTTATATTTCTTCAAAACATAATCAAGTGATATGAGAAGTATGAAATCATGAAGGACTCTTCAAATTGAGATGTAAATGTGTCATTCATGTAGGAATTTCATGGATTCTAACTCAACTTATGCATGCATGTACATGATTAACTCTTATCTTTCAAATTCAAGGTGATTCAAGCTTCAACCAAACAATTTCATGCAAATGAACTCACAACTTAGATGAATTCAATTCCTACATGTTTCATTTTCAAGGATTAAGGTTAGAGATCATACCTAGGGCTTAAATTCAAGTATATACTAGCTTAAATCCATAAGTCCTCCACAATTTCCTTCAAATTCTCATTTCTCTTTCTTTAAATGTTGAGCTTAGCTTCCCCCTCTCTCAAAATCTCAACCCAAGTGTTTGTACATGTGAGTTCAAAACATGTGCTAGGCTTATATAGAGTGCACTTAACTTAGCCTAATCAAAGTTAATTAAGGTTAATTAATTAGGCTCATTTCTAACTAAATTCAATCAGTTTATTCTAATAATGTTGATTTGAATCAATTTTCAATTAAAGTTGCCATAAAATTCTAAATATTCTAATTAGTCTATTAAGCTAATCAATTCCAGTTTCTGAAGCTGTCTTGGCTCTCAATTTCTGTCTATAAGTTGCCAATTCGAACAGATATTCCATGTAATAACAGATAACTACAAAATTAAGCATGTAATCACACAATTAAACACATGATCATGCAATTAGATTTATTGAAATAATACAATATAATAGTTCGAAGGTCGAGGTCGTCACAGGTTTGATGTAAATGTAATCACTGTCATGATTAATGAAAAATTTTATTAATTTTATTTATGAAACCACTCAAACTTTTATTATTTACTACATTTCCCTTATTGTCAACTGTTACATCTTTAGTCACATAACTATTTTTTACACTGATTATTACATTTCGTAAAACATCAAAAAATTCTATAGGGTCCATAACAACTAATCCTCTTCGATCAATTTCGTCTTTTCTAGCAGCCCCAACCTCAGAAATCGACGAACCAGGATCAACATCACTAGCACCATCACCATCTCTGCGTACATCAATCTCAGACAAATTCAGATGACCTCTGCGTTCATGAATAACTAAACTATTTTCTCCAAAACCTCCTAACAACAAATCTCTTCGCTTCTCCGGTAAACCCACAGATATAGTCCGTGTCAGAATCGGAATAGCCTTGGTTGGAGCACAATTTTAAACAAGCCACATGTAAGAAACCATGAAATTACCACCTATAAATAGTGAACGATTGAGAGAGTTTCGAAAATATAGGGAGATACAAATAACTAAGGAGCAGCGTGCTAATAGCGAAGAGTTTATAGTAGGAAAGTTAAGGCTAATGGTTGATATTAAGGTAAGTTATGTTATATTTTGAGTTACCATAATATATTTTCTATGTGTCTTGAGTCACTATAATATATTTTACGAATGTTTTGAGTTACCACAATTTATTTTATATAATTTATATTTTGTAGTTATATAAATGTTTCAATTGTGTGGATTATTTTCTGAACTCTATTTGCTTAAATGGAAACTCATGGATATGTTTGTTTAAATTTTAGAAAGTATTTGACAAAGATCTTGTAAACAATTATTTTCCGTAAATACCACCACGGGAGTCCCATGCCTTGGGGACTTAAATAACCATTGGCCCTTATTTGGCCACTTTGTGGTCCCCTATTTGTCATGGATCCATTGACCCCGGTTCTGATTGTCACTCCAGTGACCCTTGTTTTATTCTGTTCTGTACCATGGTTATAGTTATTTAGATAATTTCTGTATTTCAGCTACTTAATTAATTTGTTTATTCAACTTAAATTATGTTAATGTTTTAGCTTAAATAAATATACATGGCTATTTTGTGCCCCTATACTCACAGTATAATATTTCTCACTCTGCTATGTGCTTATAGCTGTTACTCCTTTCAGGTGACGAGATTTAATAGGATCAAGATGGGAGATAAATCACAGTGTTTTCTTTTTTTTGTACTATCTGTATTTTTTATTGTACTCTTG